TTTGACAATTACCTCCTTTTGCTTCGTACTTGCGCTAACCGAGAGAATTATGAGAGGGAAATTTAGGTTGATATAGTTAGATAAGGTATATTAATAATTCATGCTACTGTAACAATAAAACATAATTCTGTTGCTCAATTCAGAGAGACAGCTACAATGAAACATCAGTAGGTACACTCACAAAAACATCTACACGCCGTCGTTTATGCATAAAACTTAACCGTCTCAAACCTGCTAGAAGTTGAGTGTCAACAGTATGGTGCGGAGTGGACAGACGGCAAAATGATGACTCGTTAGTACAAATATTTTTGTAGTGTGTTATAGTGTAAATGTAATAAAATGTAACGAATATACCTAAGTACGTTTAACCCAGGTGCCTCATTTCAAAAATTCAGATAGAAAAAGTAGCAACCCTAGGTTGACATTGATTGGAAGAATGGGCGATCTGTCCTTCAATAAATTCACTACAATGTGCTTGTACTAGTACTGTATTATCTCAAACCATAACAGCCTTAACAGTCCACTTCTGGACATGGTCCTCCCTCTATCAGGGATATTGCAATACACATTTACAGGGAACGCTGCTCCCCGTTCCCTACATGATTATTTCTTAATTTATTTGAAAAACACCTTCGGGTAGAATCAGGGTGATGATCTCTGAAATAAATTAATCTTAGTAGATTCTGTTCTTAGGTTAGTACAATACCTACCATCTCCAATTAATTTATCATGAATAGAAAACTTGTCATTCTTCACGCTCACAGCATTATCTTCTCAATTATTAACAGTGCGTAGCGTCCAATACCTAACCGATGCGACGGTGTTAGGCTCGATTCAATAAATAATCACAAAGGCTGAAAGACAATGGTACAAAGCCTTTGTTGCTGCCCCCACCGGACGTTTGAGTCGGCACAAATATCTTTGATACAGAGCCGGATCGCTAGGGGGCGCTTACGGTGCTAAGCGCTTGCCGCCCCCTAATGTGCGTTTGTTTTTAATGATGGCGGAGCGACATCATTCGTATTTCATTGTCGGTGCCGTTTTGTGTTTGTGTCGTGTGCGTGTCTTAATTATTCTTTTTGCTTACCCTTCCTCTTTCCTTAAATATTCATAACAGGTACGATGTGGTGAAGTAAACCAAATGTGTTAAAATAGAACTCGATTTGATGATAAAAAGAAAAGAAAATCACAAACTTGAGTAAGTCAGACAGAAAAAAGATACACGCAAAGTTCTATAAATAGACTATAACAGGTTCTCCAAATAAATAAGAATAATCTTATCTGGCTGCCCTCAATAACTGTCACAGAAAGGGGCCCAATCACCTGAGTCCCTCCCTCACATTTAAGGTGCCTCCAACCTTACATTATCAGCAGTCTATCAGATTGATTGACATCGGACCCGGTTGGAAAACGAAGAAAAATATGGCTTCCAAGCGTTTATTAAGATTGATGGAACGAACGGTGATTCGAACGTTTTTGCATTTCGCAAATATCGCGCTGTCATTTCTAATTTGGATTTATGATTCCTTTGTAACGTCGCTCCTAAGTAATTCTTTGGCTTATTTAAGACTGTGGAGTTGTAATTTGTATATGATTGATGGTCTTTCGTTTCAAACGGTTGGCGGATTGACAGTCTTTTATTTCAATTGGATTTGAATAAAGGCTGATTGCCGAAGAATATTGCCAGTACAGTGAGTAGGTTCCTACGTCGTACCGTATAAAGTGTGTTACCGGCAAGCGTATATTTAGCAAACTGGGGATCCTAGGCATCTATATGAACATATATCTGCGACACCACGATAAAAATACAGCTGTTGCCGGTAATACAATGTATAATTTTTGTAGTTGGTATATTTATGTCAAGCTAATGAGAGCTTAATTTTTTTTAAGGCTCTGAGCTAATGGAAGAATTGGTGCAGTTGAGAGTTGCAGTTATCCAGATATTCAGTGCGCTAATGAGGGCTGAAGTTTTTAATATGTGTGTTGATCTAGGATGGAATTATTTAACGTTCCACTCGTTGTTGTAAGTCAACATTACCGTCTATCTAGGTCTGATCTTACTTGCGTAAAGTGCAGTCACAAAAAATGTACCGAATATCTTTTAAAAACATATTATACTTGCATCTAAAAATCCATAATTCTACTGACGTATTTTTTATCAACCTCAGAAAAAAGCTCTTAAAAATTTACGGCTTAAATGTTAAGAGGATCTACTGGGCCCAGTGTATATTTTTGACAAGCAACGGCGGTGTGTAATCGGATCACACGCATGTGAACGGGACCCACCAGTTTTAGGGTCCCGTACCTCATGGGTCGAAACAGTATCCTATTACTGAGATTTCGCTGTTTGTCTGTCCATATGTCTGTCACCAGGCTAGTTGTTGAGAGAGAGTTGTTATATTTACAGATAACGTATTTCTGTAGCCGCTATTATAAAAAAAAATGAATTTTTTTGCTAGATTTTAACTATGATAGTTCGGAGGGTGTAATTCTTTAATTGTAATAGTTAGACAGTTGAAATTTTCACATGTTGTAGGACTCTATAATCGCTATAACAAAAAAACACTAAACAAATGAATAAATATAAATTAAGCCCGCCCGCTTTAATAAAACAAATATCGTTTTTATGCCATCTTTATACCCACACAATGGTACGGTACCATTCGTGCGCGAGTCTGACTTGCACTTGGCCGATTTTTTTATATCCACCCTGTGTCGACTAAAAATGTATCATGGCCGAGTTACAGCTGGAAATATTTTTCTAGACGCAACGAGCTTTGAAGTTTTTTTTTATTTGGTAGAACAATGAGATTTAGTTTTGTCCCTGTTCTGTGTTTTGGACTAAAAAATGCTTCAATAAGTTAGTAATCAGTATACAACAGCTGGCACAATTATTTAGAAGATCGGCGTAACTCCAAAAAAAATTTTGACCTATATTTTGGTATAATTGTTCAGTTTCGCGTTCAGGTACTTAAACTGCTTTGCGAGTCGTCGTACAGACTACAGTTTTATTACATTTTGTATATAACAGAATATATATTTCAATAATAAACAATACTACATATTTAGACACATAACGGTATAGCCAACGCTTTCGGAAACATGTTCCGAGGGTGAAAGGTGAGTGAGAGGCAAGTCGAGCACATGTCGATAGCGCAAAAGCCTTGAAATGCAGCTTCGAAAATTCACTGGCCTATTTCAAACTATTAATACACACTACATTAAAAAAAAATTGGGCGGTGCTACGCATGGCTATGCATGCACGGTCAAAAGTTGTAGGTAATAAAATTGGTGAAGATATTTCAAGGGCACATGAAAACTAAAAACATTTGTCCATTACTACATTACGTAAATGATTTGGAGCCACAATCATTGTATGAAAAATATATAGGGATATTCAGAATCGCCGTGTGGTAGCGGCTAAGAGTCAAGAGTCCTGCCACCCCTAGTCCACTGTAGGTGGGTGTTTTGTAAAAAGGCGACGTAGAGTTTTTGACCTCCGCTGAATATCTGTCGACTAATGGTCAAGCGCATGATGGCGGTGATACCACCTACAATAGCATTTCCAAAGAGGGCTGACGACATGCTGGCGGCCGGTCATAAAACATTGCCAAATCCTTTTGCTACAGGGTTTTGTGCTCTAAAAAAAACATGTTGTGCCGACCCCAGCTTATTTGGAATTAAGGCAGGCAGATTATGATAATTCAGAATTTTTACGCCTATGGTACACTTAATTATTTCTATGAAAAGGTACAGCATACGTTTATATTCACACGTAGGCGGTCGATGCATCATAGTGAGCACTCTAGAAAGCTGGTTTCGAGGGAAAACCGTGTGTGAGCGAGGCGATCCGAGTAGTTGTCGATAAAGCGAATGCAACGAGCTAGAAAACGAACAGCTGCTTTGAAACCGGCTTTGTATTGTGCTTTTACTGATTTGCAACATTTTCTACGTAAAATTTCACTAAGATATTTTGTTTTACAAAGCAAAAAAATAATACGTGTAAGTGCACGCATATATTCCCTTGTAATAATTACTTTAACAGGTCTTACCGCGATAATTTTTTGTCCTTAAAGACTGCCCGCGACCATGACTGATGAAATTCAGTCGAAACGTCGGGTTTCCAGGTAAATCGCTTATTTACCTAAAAAACTATTTAAGACCCGTTAAAGTAACTAGGTACTTATTTTATTATGTGTGAAAGTAATCGCCAGTGCTTTTAAAGTTCCATGTAAGCAAAACAAATCAGAAACATGATCACACTCGTGACTCCCTGAATTGAGGTTATAGCAGATATTCATATAAACACACATAAAGAACACTTTACATACAGGAATGGATAATACGACCAAGAATTGAACATAGGACTCTTCGCTGTGCTCTTAATTTGAAATTGTCTCAGCTAAAAAGACCCATGTAGTGTCTATTGGGATTTTTAATGCACTCATAGTGCTATATTGATCAACCAATATCATCATAATAATATGGTTTGAATTCCTACTGTAATGTGGACTAACCAGGTAGTAAAGTTGTAGTTATGGAAGTCGTTAGATCGTCGCTTGGAGACGAGCATCAACAGATTGAAGTATTTGATAGGCATCTACTTGTGCATCGATAATTCAGTGGCAAAGCGGTGGGACGTTTACCCATGCGGACTGGGTTCGATCCCCATCGATGCATTTCAATTTTTTATTTTCATAAGAGAACATGTGTGTCTGTCTGTACATTTATAAATACACATAGCCTCAAAGACACCACTTCCACTTTCAATAGAATATATTGATTGATTTGCAGTTGTCATTACCGTGAAACTAAAGCCCAAGGGCTTAGGGAACTTTAACAGCTGTAGAAGCTTGTCAGTTTTCAGTATGGCAACCACACGAGCCCATAGAAACAATAAAATTGACAAATATATTTGACTAATGAGGTGCAAAGTTGATATTAGTATTTATTAAACAAGTCTGATTCACAAGTGAAAATAAGAAATAGAAAAAATGTCATACATCGACCGGGAATCGAACCCGGGCCGCATGGGTAAACGCTCCACCGCTCTGCCACTGAACTATCGATGCACCGGTTGATGAATGCCAAATTTTCTATCTCTTGATGCTCGTCTCACAAAAGTCTGATTTAACGTTTCGAAAACCTGCATCGAAACATTGTATAGGTATATCTTTATGTAATATTAATAAGTTGCTTTTATCTATTTTTATTCTTCGACCACTCCGCGTGTGCCAGAAACCTTACACTGATAAAACCTGTGTAAATTCCGTACCCAACTCCAATATGTCGCTTCTGTCCCGATATTGATTCTTTGACGCGTGCGTGCGACCTAATTGCGGCTCCTCGATAGTTTCTCCCTTTGTGTTAGAAGTGTTGTTCGAAAAGACTAGAGCTTTTTGGACTCTCTTTCTCTCTCCCGAGGCTATCAACGACTTTTTGGACTTAGATATATCATCAAGATCAGATTTATTGTAAGTATATAAGTATGGCTTTAGTAAAAGAATCATCCAGCGTAGGGTTGAGTTTGAAAAACTAGCAGTATGATGTTACATAATCATAAAGCATTCTCAATTTGAAAAACATAAACACTTCTAAAGGGGCGAAAAAACTCTTCTTTCGTATCAACAAACTGATGCAAATGCATTGCGTGCGCGATGCTTACATTGAAAAACGTTGAAAATACTTATTCACAAAATATATTTAACTAAAGTAATTCTAGGGAAAGCGAATGAATCTGAATTGATTGTCTAATTATCGTGGGTTTTTCCTGTTATTTAAATATTTGAAAAAGCAGTTACATAACAACATATATTTTTGTAAACAAAGGTTTTGAAGTTTTTCAGTCCCAAAAAGCGCAACCTTCAAAAGGCTCGAGTCTTTTCCCACACTAGTTCTAACTTGTAAGTATTAGGGCAGCGTCACACCGTGCCGTATCTACGGCCGCGGCGCGGTGCGTACCCACCAGTACCCACTCGATCCCCACTTGAATGGGCTGCGGCTGCGTAACAAATTGGCCGTGGCCATGGTAACACGTAAGTAGTATTGTTTATTGGAAATCTGCTAGTCATAGTAACTAGGTACAACACAAAATTTTGCGCTGTTATAGTTTTGGAACGTAATACCAGGTAACGTACATTGGGTATTGCAATTTTAGGTGACGACTGTCATTCATTACAGTACCTGAAATTTCCACCAAAAATTTGTCATTTTCGGCCATGGATGTCGCACGCAGTAGACAAATTTTCACTTTTACACATAGATAAGCATTGCCCATTCCACATGGAATGCCTGACGTCTGACTCTGAAATTAAAGCGCATAAATTTAGCACTGATTAAAAAGAGCTAGAGTCACCGCTTCGTAATATAAAGGGTGGCTTAAAGTAATATCAGAATCATAAAATGGTACCTGTTATTTATACTAGCTCCATGACACGCCCCCTACCGTTACGAGGCCCTAATTAATATTTGAGAGGTTCGGAATTGGGACATGATGAGTGTCCAGATAAGGCCCAAATTGTCGGCCTCAGCTGTTTCTCGTAGAGCCCGCCCAATAACTTTGGAGGGCTGATGAGCTTTGCTGCCAAAAGAAAACTGAAAGTAGGCATATCTTGTTGGCTGTAATGAGTAGGAAAAGTGCCTATTAAGTTCGATGAAAGACCTTTTTCGGTGCTCACTTTGCAGAGTAAAAGTACGCTAAGTAAGATACCTATCTGAGGCGGTTCTATTGGATCTGTGGGGCTAGCATATTATGCACTGTAGAGAGAGAAGACTTCAGATGTGTTTGTTAAGTTGTATGATACAAAACAAGTGAAGACTTTTAATATAATGTAAGGGTGTAGAGAAAATCTTTTTCGCGAGTTGTATGCTAGCTATGCAGGTTTTGGAGACAGAGAGTTTATATAATCCCACACCGGATATTTTAGCACACGTCGCCGCATCTAATTGTGGCTGTCACAATGTAGTGTAATCCATTCGCTATCATGCGACCAGCCTAGGTTTGAGGTCAAGTTACGTTTGTTGCGTATAATATCTAAGTATTGAGACCAGCGTAACTTGAACTGCCATTTAGGCTGTTCGCGGCACTATGATAGCAAATGTTTTATACGATACCTAAGTGTGCAATTCACCTTAAATCCTAGATTGATAATAATAATTATAACGATGGTTATTTAAGTAACAAAACGGCATAAAATATTAACATTACTTAAGAAAACTTCTTTCTGTTGTAATATCAGTAGTTCCGTAAAAAAATAAACGTCTTCGTTCGCATCAAATATTACTGGGCTGGCTCACAAAACGAAAACGATCGAGGAATAAAAAACTTTGGCGGCGTATTCAGATCCTGGTGTTCGATAAAAAAAAATTCGCTTTGCCCCACTTTGCTTATTAAAAGTTATCATTATCATTGCTTTCCTGTCGGTATATTGCTTAGGCATGAAAAAATATTTACGTTCAATTTAATTATCATTGAAATACTGAATAAAGGGAAATACGTTGAAAATACGATAATAGTTTTATCCAACAGCTATGACGTAAATAAAAATATGAATGAAATATATAACAATTACATTATAGGTAGATACGGGCTTAAGGGTTCAGTTGGTGACGTACTAATTATCATACTCATTTTATTTACATAGGTTAACAATTATGGGTAGGCTTTCGTACCACAAATTAGGGAAACGGCGCGGCGCGCGGTTGTTCATACTAAGATACGGAATTCGGATTTTGTTTCGTTTGAAAGTACCTATTAAAATAGTAAAATTAGATAAGTATTGGGCATTTATAGCGTACGCCCAACTAGTAGGTATTCAAAATATTAAAATACCAAGCTAAACAAGATTTACTTAGAGCCCCTTTAGCTCAGAAACCTACCGGATAAGGATAATAAATACCCTTTTGATATCACAGGAAACCCAAATTTGACCTCAACTCCGCAACTTCCTTTAGGTGTTTTATAGGTAACACGTGAACCATTCACACTGTATATTTCGATATTCCCAACTGCAAAAAGTAAGTGAAATTTGAAGTCGGTTGCGAAAAATCAAATATTCTTTATTGCGGCAGAATAAATTTAAAGTGAGGATTGAAGATAGAAATATGGAAATTGAGGATGTTTGCCGTTATTTTAGAAGTATTGGAAGGTGGTGCTTTCGGTTAGTTTTGAATGTGGTTTCAAAGTTTGAAAGAAGAATTTGTCTAGCAGTATCTAGATCTTATTTATCTCTGTCCCATCGTGGTGAACACTGAATCAAAAGTAAAAAAGACTCGATCAGTCTACACTCAGGTACTATTTGTAGGCCTCTGATAAAATAAAATTGTGTGACGACCAAACGAGCATGACTATCAAGACCCATGCATATTATCACTCACCAAAAATATAACCAAGGGCACTGAGTCTTCACACGTAACGTCCGTTTGTGCTGTATTTTCGTATGCGTTGGGTGACTTGGGTGAGACAATATGAATTTCGACCTTATTCTCATACTAATATGATATAGGTAGAACTGTTTGACAGACGCATCCGTCAACGTAGCGTTGTGTAATATTTCGCGCAGATGCGTTTGTCAAACCGTTTGATATAAATCGTATGTGTATGAAACTAAGTATTTCGCAAACGCAACGAATGGTGCTGAGCAAAAATAACGGACATGCAGACGTTACGTGTGTTCTTGTCTTAACACCAAATTCAGACCGCTTGGCCTCAGAGGCAGTTAAAAAGGCTTCATCTCACAAAGTAATTTAGTCTTCAAGTTCCAAATGCACGTAAGCATAGGTAAGTATAAAACTATCACCATAGTATTTTGTAATTTTTTCCAGCCCTGTATTGTTCAGAGTTGTAAAAATATTATAGAACGATATATTTCAAATGAAACACCACTGCATTAACATAAAACCGGTAATATAGACGTAATAAATGAATACTTAACCCCGTTTCGAATATTTCACCGACACTTATTTATGTCACTTTACACGTTTAATACCTTTATTAATGCGTGTAATAATTTGTGTTTACGATGACATTAGCCACCCCTGATACGACGGTAATGAGATGAGTTGGGTAGGGGATGGATGATTGTGGTCTAAAATCAACAAGCACAGCAGCAGTCCACCGCTGGACAAGGTCATACATACTATCAGCCACAACAACTGTCTACTTTTTACTATTGAGGGGTGTTTGTCACACTCCTTTGCCTCACTACATTTGGAAATCAAGTTGACGTGACACTGGCTTGACAATTGTTTGATTACAAAATCCAAAAATTAGAAGCAGATGTGATTTAAAACTGTATCGCCAATTCTAGGATTTGAACCTTAGTCGCTTGCGCCACTCACGGGTAGAAACGAAGTGACACTTTTGACTTTTCTGAACTTGAAAATTCTGAAAGGATCAGATAAGAAGTTCTAATTCTGGTGGTAGCGGACTTAAAGGTTGATGATTTTTGTTTCATGTTTTGTTTAGACTTACGACAACAAAGGCTGAACCCTGATTTAATCATCATATCCTAGTCTGCCAATCAATTCACTCTAACACCAAGGTTAATCGGGTCTTTGGACAACTCGGTGTCCCACACAAAGTGAGACAGAGAGAGAATAAATTCAGAATGGTAGCAAAAGAATTACAAGAAAACGTCCTGATCCTTTTGTCTGTACCCAAACGTTATTATGAATAAACGTTGGAGTCCCTTCTTGATAAAATCCTGTTTTTTCCTCGATAAGGATCGGATTATGCTCAGGTTCAAGGACAAGTCTTTTCGTAAAGAAAATAGTGATTCCTGTTTCGTAAGGGTAGCTGTAGTATTGATAAGAGGGTTGCTTTTTCTTTTGATTAAAAGCTATACATAATATTTTAGCAACAAAATATGTTTTTGTACGTTTATGATTGTATCTGACATTAGTATATTAAAAAAGTGTTTATTTCTTTTTTAGAATTAATAATCTCCGCTATATTTACTTAATTTCTTATCGCCTAGGCATCAAAGCCTACAAGTTCACAAAAAAATAAGTTTAAGAGCTACTTTTGATGCGTAACTCGCAATTTATCAGCATTCTCTTTCATTCAAGCAGA